GACACGGCGACGGACGGGAGAGGTGCGCGGGAGGAGAGCGCGACCCACGGCCTCGGGCGCCGCCACCGCAGGGCTCCGCCGGCCCCGCGGCAGAGCTACCGCGGGACCCCAACTCCGCAGGCTGATCTTGCGGTGCATGTAATAGAAAGATATAAACGCCTGCTGGAACTCTGTTTTTGCGGAGTTACGTTGTAGGGATACTGGTGGTGTTCTAACTGATGGCATACAACAACAGGAGCTGTTAAATACACCTAATATAAGAGTGAATGTTGTTGGCATCACTATTACTCAAGAATTACTTCAAATTTATGTTCTTGCAGAGACAATCCAGGATGTCTTTAAGTGTACTACTTTTACTAGCACTTTGCTATGGCAAGAAAGTTGCTGAGCAAAAAAAGAAAACAGATGACTTCTGCCGTTTGAGCATCCTGACGTTTTCCTGTACTTTCCTGGGAAATGCTAACTCAGCTAAACCTACAGTCTCTGCAGGCACCGGTATTTATCGTTGTAGATATCAAATTCGGCAGATCAAGCAACTAACAGCTACAAAGCAGGTAAGCCCTAAGTGTTAGCTTTGGAGGGAAAGCCAGTGTTAATTTGCAGACTACTGCAGGATATCAAATAATTTATTCGGATATAAGACTTGAGTCTTTTGATCTGTAGCTTAATTGGCTGTTTCAGCACCCACTGATAACAATGTACTAGTTAAAATGAGACTTACACAGCATCAAAACAATACAACTGAGGGGTATTATAACAATAACTTCATTTATATCCAGCACCTTTACTATACATAAACCCCTGCGGAGTGTGACACTGCCATGTCAGGACAGATGATCTTTTAGGGTTAACAACTTGAGCACCAGTCAGCAAGTTTTAACGTGATGATTCTGCACGATGGAAGCACACTAGCCTGCAACATTGCTTCAAAGGATTCTCACAATTCCCCTCTGTCTAACTGAAAAGAATAAATTCTCCACAACTTAATATGAAGTAGCTGCTATTACGGCTCCAATTTTTGCAAAGCAAGGAAATCAAATGGGGCCACAGATCCTAATGCCAGACAGGTGAGCACAGCACAATTGTAGCTGTGGCATCTCCAGCGTTATTTTAATATGATTGATCTTGCTAGAGCTAGGCTAATTAGCTTGAGACAAATAAGTGAAACCAAGTTGTGAATTCAACTCACGTGATTTTCAGTTTTTAAAGAGTAGTACCTGTTGCTCATGAAGCACTAGTGAGGATCCTGAATGACAGCTGACAGCACTTACAAAAAGGGATCATGAACACAACAGACATGTAGCTACAGAACTAACATCTGCAAATGGAAATGGAGTTGCAATCTCACAAGTATTGAAACAGGAGGCTGAAAAATACACAGAGTCTGATAAACACCTTCCAATGTGCATCTTCTGTCATACAAGTCAAATGTCCAATTTTTATGTAATCTGTTAAAGAGAGTTAGATCAAATATGTTAGTTCTTCTCATGGAAGATACTCTTAGTCTAACACATCTGATTCAAGCCAGGAGCTGAGACAATTTCCTTTTCTGTCAATTAGCAAGAAAATCTTAAACCAAAAACCAATGAAGAAAAAGAACACTCTCTAAGTATAAATTTAACATTCTTTTGCATAGTTGCTGAGGATAAACCCAAACACCTGCAATGTGGTTTATTAAAATCACTTTTCTTACTGGAACCACATTTTAATCTGTCATACTGGGGAATTCTTAGGAGATACAGTGACTAAAATTTCATTTCCTACAGGGTACCTAACATTTATACAGCTAGAGTTCAACAAGCAAAGCACAAGGCATTCCCAAAAATGATATATTTATCACAAATGCATGTTCTGGGACATTTTAAGTCAAATCTCTTAGTTTTGTATCTCACACCAAAAGACTTTGTATGGGGATATAAGAGAAAGAAGTCTGCTGCATGCAGATCTGTTTCTAGCCATGAACAGTGTACTAGAGAATTTGCTCAGTACACTAAGAAAATCAGTCACTTGTTCAAATCTCTAACCGGTTAAATAGATGCACAGACTCCTAACACATCTTCTGACTTTCCATTCCTTGGATATTGATCAAAAGTTGAAATTTAGGGTAGTGAATAAACCAAAATAAGCACTTTAGAACAGTATTTTTAATTATATGGAAGAAACTGTTTCTTTAAACAGCAATATTTCCCCTTCCTCTTAGGGTCAAGTGAAAAGCCTGCTTTGCCTTTCAAGAGGTTTGTCATTCAACTATGTTAACAGAATAATCACTGTAAATTACTTCATTTGTAAATAAAGAATAATCAGGTTACCATAGATACTTTGACTGAAAAGTTTAATAAATAATGCATCTCTGAGTCTAGTAATCAGTTACTACAGCAACCCTTGTTCTCAATCACCTCTAGAAAACATTATTAAAATTTAAATTGGTTTTAAGCCTCCTGTTTTTATAATGACTGTCTTTGGCTTTTCATTCCATTTTGTATTAGTGGGAAAGAGAGATCTTAAGCAAAAACACAAAATACGTTCAAAATTGGTTTTGGAAAGGTGAAAGAGACACCACTACATGTTGGGATCGTTGCAAAAATAAACTATAAAAACTTCAATTTGCCTCACTTTTTAGTTTTTTACATTGCATGGATGAGAATCTGCATTTATGGAAAGTAAGGCTGTCCTTTTATTCTCTAAATAATATCCCTTCCTGCTTATGACAAAGCATTCTTATTTGTCAGTTGATCCAATAATTCAGCACAGTTGGTCAGGCACTCACCTAACCTCAAGTCATTTCGGTTGTTTAGTATCATTAAAACTATTAATAGGAGAGCAAAAAGTGCTAAGACTGGACTTGTATAGCTTTATTTCTCTCTTTTATACAAGCTATTACATAGTAAGTAACTAAGTAAATTAAAAAACACTCAATTGCAAAACTAGAGTACCACACTATTTATTTGTTTACAGGAAAGAAAAAAAAAAAGGGCTTCAGCCTACATCTACATCCTTCACCTACTCAAATCTACACATTCAACGGCAGATATTCGTATTTTAGAAATTGATGCAATGAAGTCAGTGACATTTTAGGTGCTTAAGAAATGCATGGACAAATTTAATTTTCTTTGTGCAGCAATGTAAACAACACAGATTGACGTATATATAACCTTTATCTTTGAAAACACGTTTAACTCTTGTTTAACGAGGCGTAAGTAATAAGAATAAAGTACATATTCAGTCAAATTAAAATGAAAACAACCATTCAACTTTGCTACAGTTAAATGAGCACATGTAAAAGGAAAATTATTCTTAGGTAACTAAACTTCCAAATTATTTTTAAATCTCTACCTGGAATTCTGTTTTAAAGATACTCACATATTAAGTAGCCCAGATGTAATTTATAAACTGTAACTGTGCTTTGGTTTTATGTTCAGGCTTGCAGAGCAATCACTGTATAAAAAATAAAAATATATTATAAAAACATTTCATGTCTTATTTAAAGCCATTTGGCTTGCAGATGGAACACAATACAACTAAATAAACATTTCAGCATTAAAAACAAAAAGGGCTAGATTTGCTAAGTGCCCAGCTTTTAGCTGCAGTGTATCTCTGAAAAAAAAAAAACACTAAAAATTTTTTCTAGATCTAGCAGCTTCCAATGCTTTTCCTTTGGAACTGCTGACTTTTAAAATCTTGCCAGTTCCAGGACTCCGTTGACTCAGAAGTAAATAAAACAGAATATAATTACTGGGATAAGGTGAACTTAAGCAAAACATTTCAATCCTTAAATTCATTTGGAGTTTTTTTGATTTGCTGCTTTACTCTGATTTGATGTACTTGGCACAACTGGTAACACACACTTCTGCTGTAGCTCTCTTATTTTGAGCACAGAAACACAAATTCCAAGGTTCTCCATGTGCTCTTAATAATGGCAAATCTGAAAGTCTGACACAGCACTTCAGGTTGTTAATGTTCTATCTCAAGGTATTCAAACTGTGATCCATGAAGGCTCAGTTGGCTGACAGTGCAGATCAAACCTCTCCTTCATTTGACGAAGAAAAGCTGAATATATACTTTAATGGCACTTCAAAAAAACTTTGAAAAATTTGAGGAATGCCATGTGGGCATTACCTAATAGTGAATGAGGCAAAAAAGAGACAATTTTAAAAATCTGATCTGGTGCACACCTAAAACATCTGAAAGCCTCTACAATAAACCCTAAGAACGTTATTATAGTAAAATGAAGTAACAGTAACGAGTGACTAAATTAAGCTCTCAGTTTTCTTTCTGTCCCTTCCTCTAACAATTGCCTAAAAAATTGAACAGCTTTGGACAAGAACTCCAACACGGAGATAAAGTGTTGGAAAGTAAAGAGCATTTAGACATCAAATGATTCAAAGTAATAAAATTGTGGTAGGGAACTTCATACATAACTTTCTCTTGAGAAAAAGAAACCATAATATAGAAAAGAATTATTAGAATTTTCCCCAGGAGGTAAGCAGTGTTATGGAGTAATGCAGTATTACACCTACACAGGAATTCAAATTTTATGGAATAGATTCAGATGACTTTGCCACAGCATGCACCTTTAAGTCGCTATGAATAGGTTATCTATAAATTTGAAAATACTTTTTCAAATATACTATACTGTTATTGTTTCATAGCATTACCGTCTCCAAATTTTTGATAAATTTGTACTGAACACCTTAGAGAAAACTTTATACAAAACATTGTTGAAATGGATTCCTCTAAGAACACAAAAAAACTACTACTCAACTGATGAAAATTAGAAAAGGCTTGGCTGTCTTAATCAGCTTAACTCCAGAGTTTCATGATCATCTCCTATTTCCCTTCTCTCTCACATTGTTGATCAGTAAAACACATACTAGTGAGCAGTATGATAACATAGAAGTATTTCCTATGATATTTTAAGTCAGAAGAACAAGGTGGGACTGAAAAATACTATTACTGCTTATAGTTTATGGCATTTAAGTATGCTCCAATAGGTCCTCAGAAACAGTACTCATTTTAATGTTGCAGTTTACCATTGCTGGGCAGAACAACAAGTCCTGCCCTCTACTAGACTCTTTACAGACATTAATAATAAATATTATAATCTTATCCAAAGATTGTATCAAAAACATGGTTGAATTCCCAGAGAGAGGTTCATATGACTGGATGATTCTGAAGAATTCATAAAATGGTACTTATTTTTCCTGAAAACACTGTAGATGATCACTGCATTAAGTTTAAAATTTTACAGTTGAAATCCTGAGAATATCAACAATTTGCCTGTTATACATACACAATTTCTTCACACAAACTTATTATTTAGTGCCTTTCCATAGCGACAGTTTTTCTACTGATTAGGTTTTAATACTATATGTCCCAGCTTTGGCATCCCTTGGTACTCTAACCTGGAAAATTGTATTTCATCAAAAGCTCTGCATTCACACTAAAATTAAAGGTTTCAATGCATCTGAACATAATTCACAAAACAAATTTTAAGTGGAAACTGATTTAAGCTAATATTTCTTTGTATTTTTTCCTCAGATACAGCTTGATACAAATCAAATGTCTTCATATTTGGAAAAATGTACTGAATGATCAATAAGTACACATTTACCCATTGTCATATGTTTTACTTCTTTATTTTTGTAGATGCAACTTAGATGCCGGAATTGTTAGTTAAAGCGAACAACAGAGACAGACTCAGATGCTGGCTCTACTGAAATCAACAGAAAAAATCCCACCAGCTTTCACTGAAATTTTGGGGGCTTAGGATTAGTGATAGGTTTACATTTCCAATCAATTTTCATAGCAAATTTTTAATAAAAAGTGAACCAAACTCTCTAAACATTCTGTTCGTGGAGATGTAGATTCAGTAATGCACTAAAATCTTCAGCTCTGGATTCCAAGGTGTAGAATGTATTGAGAGTGCACTCTGAAAAGGAAAATAACTAAATTACCAATTTCATTTATTAAAAACTTCATTTGTTATAGTATAAGCAAAAAACCTTCTTAAAAAATTCACCCACTTTCTAACAGGCTTTACGCTAAAATATTTCTACTTGCACAAGATTTCAGGGATAATTCCTCATTCAAATAAATAAAAGAGTAATCATTAAAATGTCAGTATCTAACTTCAAGAGTATCAAAATAATTAATATACATTGCTATTTCAAAGTACAATTTGTTTGCCAGTGTGAATAAACAAAGAAAACTAACAATTTTTTTCCGATTCAAAACTTAAAAGATATATAAAATTATTATTTAAAGGCTGAAAGTGCAGACACCATGCATAGCTTAGAGAGTCTCACTGTTACCCTAATGATCCATCTTCTATAAAACAAGACTGTAACAGGGAATGCCCCTGGGTCTTAATTTAATTCTGAAGACTACGACCAGTCCTTATGCAGCAGGTGTAGCGACAGAATCATGTAAGAGCCAAATATCTGGACTAAATCTGCTTGGGGACTAACATACCATCTTTCCAGTGCAGGGTTGATTTTTCTACCCAGAATAGCCATATCAGTTCAATTCTTTCTATTGACAGTTAGTCTCGTACCATACAGTTCCCCTTCACCTTCCTTTATGATACAGGTCATAAGTGTAATCATATGCAAACCAGCAAGTTTCTTTTTTTTAACTACATTGATATGGTAGTCGCGTACAGTCAGATCAGCAGCAAGGTAATCCTATCTGACAAGGAAAGGAACACTAGTCTCATTTAGGAGAGAACTTCAGTTTTGCTTCTTGAAACTGTATTTAGAAAAGGTCTCAGTGTACACACTGACAGCTGTTGCCTATGCTTTTCTATTCCCTGTAATCAAGCGCAATGAAGTTCATTTAGGGTATTAACCAACTGAGGTACACAACAAGGGAGCAGTTTAACTAGAAATGTAATCTTATCAGATAAATGTAATCTAGCAGATAAACAGCTGACTTCCTCATAAACCATAAAATGCTTGACTTTTCCCGATACTCTTTTAAGCTATTTATTACATTGCTGAAATGGTGGCTTTCACTTGTTGCTTGCAGGTACTGTGTCAGGCTGTGACGGCTCTGAATCTGCAATAAAAACGATGAAAGTACTGATGATGCCTTCAATCATGTAAGTAACAAGGTCAACTAGAGTTTTTACTTTCTCTTCCTCCTCTCAAAATATATACAAATTCCAGTAATTTTACTTTCTGGCTAAGTAGGTAGACAAGGTATACACAAAAGTTTGATGTAAATCTATAATCCAAGGTAAGTGTCCTGTAGTTCCATTTTATCTCTTTCTGGTATTTCTTGGGTTTAAGCCTGTGCTGTAGAAAACAGAGAAAGAGCCATCACAGAAAGGAGCTGCAAGATCCTTTTTCTGCCAGCTGCTCATAGTTATTAGCATTGCGCATGATAAAGTAAGATTCGAAAGCATGAACACTGTATAACATTTTTACTATAATAAAACTGCTTCAAAGCCACTATATTCAAACAACTATATACATTTATTTTTATGAGTTTAAGTATAGCAATCTATTTCCTAAATACTAGTATCAATGATAGTTGTAAAGCAGTTTTTCAGTTAAAACTTAAGGGCCAAGGACTATTCACAACAAATATGCAGCAAATAGTTCACAGTCTGCTTAACTTTAAGCGAGGAGAGCTGTGTTTCTTCCAATGTTTTTACAAAAAAATACATCACAGAGAACCCCTGGATCAAAACAGGGCATATTTCTACAATTTTAAAGATTAAAAAAAAAGCCATGAAAGTCCCTACCTTCTCTGACTACAAGCAAGACTCTTTTTTTTTTTTTTTTAAAAAAAAAGGTCTTTGGGTATTATAAGCCAAGCATGGTAATTCAGTAAGTTTTACCATACTCAAAGAGATACACAGAAATTATTAGGGCTAACTTTGGCTGTTACCTTGAGATCACATCTTTAGGGGGCAGGGAAGGAGATAACCCACTTGTGATAATGTTACCTTTGGATTCCTCACTATTTTCTGATGCTTGTTGAACATTTTTTTCCCATTCAGTGCGCTGCTGAATCCAGTCAGCCCCATAACCATTGCTAATTAATTTGCTGAAGTTTACTGCTTCACCATTTCTCTGAGCAGGCCTGTAAAGCCAAACAAAATATACTGAGGAAAAAAGATGACATGAGTAAACCACAATGCAGATTAGGAGGAAAAAAAGTATTTTGCGCTGCTTAGAAGCAGTGACCATATACACCAAATAGTTTATTTGCAAGTAACGGTATGCAGAAATATATAACATGATAAATACAATCATTTAAGAAAAAAACATATCTAGACCTAATTCACTAAACATATTTGCATATTTTTACATAAGAGCCATGCATTTTATTGGAACTTTACATGTATAATAATTACAGAATTCTGATCTTAGGAAAAGTAATGAAAAAGGGAACTCACATGAAGAACGTGTGAGTTAAAAAGGCAGATAGGGCCTTTATTATTATAACATTATGAAGGTGGTATTTTGTCCTCAAATTTATTCACTTCGTTCACATTAACACATTTCTAAATTAACACATTTCTAAAACACACTGAGATTACTGATGTCTATGTGTAACGTATTTTTAAGACTTAAAATTCTCTGAAGCAGTTCAGATGTGCACACAGCTTGATGTTGTAATCATTTGCTTAGAAAACTGTTATATCTTCCAGGCGTTCATTATAGTATTTTTGTTGTGCCTCATCTTATGTTAGGCAATAGTTAATATGATTGCCTAAGATGGTAGTCTCACTTGTGTCTTTGTAAACTATGCGCACAGAAATAACGATGAGCAATGCAGTTGGTATCTGTTTACTGGTATTGAGAACAAAACAAAAAATGTAGAATATAGTAAAAAACGTGGAGCTACATGAAGTTCTACCATACAACTGTATGCTTACTTTTCCTAAAGCAAAGTTCTATTTAATACCTTTGCCGTGTAAGTTAAAGCCCTATTATTTTAGTTGTTTATAAAACCGTATCAGTACTTCAGATGATAGCAAGTTTAGTAGCAATGAGGACCCATAAATACATTCATGGATCTATACAATTTCATAAGGTTACTCATATGCACAAGTGGTTGTAGGATTAGGAGTTTAATCAATTTCATAAATGTACTACTTACATAGGTGGAAAGGTAAGCTTATTTTTCCCACTGAATTCCTTGTTTGTAGAAACATTCTGCATTTTGCTGGGATACTTAGGGTTTATAGCCGGAAGCTTTACCTGTGTTACAGAATTCTGAATTTAGTAAAGTAAGTTATGATAAAAATGAGTAAGAGGCGTCAAAAATGAGAGTTATACTAAAGACTAAGAATCTTTAAATGTTACTGTCTTAGGAATATTATTTCCAGCAGTAAGTGTAGAGGAATATAAGGGAATATTAAAAGATAATAAAACACTTATTTATTCTAGATGAGATCAACTGTCTGCTGTCTGTTCAGTATACCAATAATGCAGAATACATTCATCCGTGAGCTTTTTCCTTGCAGTATGCTTCTACTGAAAATTAAATTTCAAATGCAAATTTAGCAATTGCTAAATTAAGTCAAGTCCATTAACTTGAGGTTTGAAATTCCAACAAACTGAGGGAATCCTACAATGGAGAACTATATGTTAATATATATTACTTTTACCTGTCATTAACACGTAAAAAGATGATAAAGAACCCCAGTTTTGGCTAGAGGTTATAGATTTCACCTCTCTGATGATACTGAAAAATCCCAATAAGGCAGACAGATAATAAGACACCTAGGAAGCTAGTGAAATGGCATTACAAAGTCTAGGAGTAAAAGTTAGAAAATGGAAAAGGAATGGAAAAACATCAGCAATACATATTAACACTGTTTATTTTAACACCTATCAAAATCAATGACTAGGGAAGGGTCAGACTTCCCTCAAACAAAAAAGTTAAATATCCCCAACAACTCCCAGGTATTTTTCATTAATATCTGTGAAGAAATTTGAGGACTTTTACTTTTAAAAAAAAAAAAAAAAAAGAAAAACAAAGTCTTCAAAGACTATTTACAGCTTCCTTCACTTCATTAAGAAGAAAAACCCTGAAGATGGCATGAACTATTTTCAAAGCCTTTCCTTTATCATAACATATTGTTTTAACCATTCTATCTTTTAAACATCCAAAACAGGGGAGGACACCACAGAATAAAAGATACTAATGGTAGGTTATTTTTTTAAAAATTTAGAAGAGGGCAATCAGAAGTGAAATACGTTGCTATATAGAAGTACATTAACCATAAAAATCCCTTGCATCTAAATGGACACACTTACTACAATAAAATTAACCAGAGTGAAAAATTAGGAACAGAGCACCAAAAATAGATGCATAATCAGCAATTTCAGCTGGATTGCAGATACTATAAAACATTTTACAGGAAAATATCAATGAAGAAAAATTCCAAAACACATGTAAATACACTACAAAGTTAAAGAGCACATGCAGATTCAGTATGGAAAGAATGAAGAAAAATATAATAGCAGTAGTACACATCTGATCCATGAACTAATTAACAAACTAGCCAAAAAAGTGGAAAGACCAGTTTTTGGGGAGTGTAGATGATTTTCTTATTTTCTGGGAGAAACTGATTCTGAAACAGGAGGCCAATCCAAACTATCTTGTTAATTCAGTGCAGAGATTCCTACGGACTTCAGGGGAGACAGTTTCACTAGAAGAAAAATTCCAGAATCTGGTAACAAATAAAATTGATGGGCTCCTATATTGCGGACAAACAGACTGTTGATAGCTTAAAGATATGAAAAAACAGGGTGCTTTTCAAATAAAAAGAGATAATAGTAATAATATTATGCAGGATGTTGGATGAAAACAGGAGGGTGTTTTTTTCTAATTTGGAGGTTAAAAAAAAAGGGGGGTGAAAAGCTGCCTTAAAACTGCTTTTCACATCCATGAACTCTTACTTTCCGAAGCAGTCCATTTGTATTTTACATTTCAAAAACACTAACCTAGCGAGCACGGAATATTACTGTTGTTTTCTGTTTATCATTACACCATTTCAGATATGACCTGGCATGCAAATTTCAGATCCAGGACACAGTCACTGAGTGTTCAAACTTACAAAACCAATTTAATTAAACAAGTAGAAATCATCAAGGCCTAGTAGCTTTTGGTGCTTTTTCACTGCATGGCACACAAGGCAACACAGAAACACAACTTGATTGGATATCTGGTATGCTCCAAGAGTAGATGGAAAGAGAGGAGACTCTTCTTGGCATTGAGAAGAAGAAACATTTGAAAAGGAAGCCTAGAACTTAAAGGGTAAATGAGTAAAAAATAAAAAATTAAATAAATCTAGAGACAATTATCAAAATAAGTCATGGAAAAGAAAGGGAAAAAGAAAAGTCAAAGAGAAGAGACTGAAGACAAAGATGGTGGAACTTGCACATTGTTTTAAATGCTCAATTTCTTTTCCTCAAATTAAATGACTAATAAAAACTGCAAGTACCAAAACATTCCATAGTGTTCAGATCTAGTAACGAGTGACAAAGGGAACTAAGGAACAGAATAGAATTTGTTTTTGAAGGGAATCAAATCAGGTCTGGAATCCCATCAGGTTGTTACTTCACTGTGCAAATTCAGCACTAACAAACAGGCCCTCGTGCCATTACACTCCAATGGTTATAGCAGAGGAGGCACCTTCACTTTGACGAGTCTCTTATTTAACAGTCGCAGTGCCTCCAAGAAAAATCAAACTAACCACGTAAGTCATTTTTTCACACGTTCTCCATTTAAAACGTTTTCTCCTTCTGTGATGAGACGAAATTACTACTCACATTTATTGTACATGTAAGTTTATTAGATTCATATTCAAATAAGCACCCATTGTGATTTGTAGGTCAACTACTTGTAGCAATGCCCAACAACTCTGGCTGTGTAAATGTAGTCCTGTAAGGTGATAAAAAGGTAAGTTTATTTAATCACAGTTTTCTTCAAATAAACACTTCCTCGGGCCTGGGTGGTATGTGAAGAACAACCTATACTTCCTGCCAACTTGGAAAGCTAAAACCCCCTGAATGAAATCCAAGTTCCACTGAAATCAGGGGCAAATTTTCATATTATATTTCAAATTTCTCTTTGAGGTAAAATCCTGACCCTATATGAGTAGTCTTTTCCCTACAGCATATATAAATATATGTGTATGTATAAAGGCAGGCAGATAACTTCACCATGCTGGAAAAATTAAAAGCTCTCTTTGCTCAGGACATGTAGAATGCTGATATGACCATAATTATTAGATATACATACACACACACGCACCCCTCCACTGTCAAGGCTAACGTTACACCAAAAAAATACTGTATCATAATATGTCATGTCTATCCTTCACTAGAAGCAGCAGAGAACTTCAGCACAGTGGGAAAACAAAGCACTTAAGAGGATGCATCAAAAGTTCAAAAGGAAATTTTCCCACTGAGGTTCATGATTTAGTGGTGCTTTACCACTAGAGATACCAAATGCATAGCCAGAAATGCATGATCACGTTCTCCTGTCTTTGGAAGGAAAAGTATCATTAATCAGAGTTGCACAAACTGTCTGGGCATGGAGATAAGCCTCTCATTCTTCTGAGAACCTTAATACCTGTATATCAACCATGAGCAAGATATGACCTACTTTTTGAAGGAATACATAAGGTTAAGTGTTTGGCTATGAAATATTTTCTATAGAAACTAAAGGCCCACTCACCACAGCTCTAGTAAAATTTCCATATGGAAAAAGCAAGATAAAAAACTGAGATGAAGTTACTTGTACTTACTGACAGATAATAAATATATACCTAGGTATGCCTAGCAGAACTCATTGACACTTTACAAAAGAGATCCCTATCATTACCTCCGTTTTACAGGAATACTGAGGCATTGCAAGGTGAGGTGACTTGCACAGGCTAATGGAGCAGACTAGTGGCAGAGCTGGGAATAGATGGAGTTCAGGTATCCTGCGTGTGCTTATTTACCAGGCCAAACTGCAGATCAGTTGAAAAAACACTGGTATAATCTAGCTTTGTTTCTTGTGTCCCCTGTACACTGAGGGAAGATAGCAATGAAAAGGTGAAAACAGCAATGAAAAGGTGAATTCTATGATCAACAGGGAACTTCCAACACTTCTACTAGAAGCATGTTGACTGTTATGGTATGAATAGCGTTAACTATCTAAAGGGGTTCCTCCTTTCAACCCTTGAAGAAAACATCCTTTAACAAAAAGTTCAATGCAAATGCCTAGGAGATATCATTTCACACATGAGGTAGTAGTCTTAGTGGCATAGCAGAAATATTCCCCAACTCTGACACTACCCCTCATACTGCTTCTAACTTATCTGTCACCTACACGCAGCCTCTCTCTTTCAGTTAGCAACATTTTCAACTCACCCTGGTTGGTCCACAGGGTCTGTAGGCTAAAGGAGGTTTCAGTTTGGCCTAATAATCTGTCACTTCACCATGCGCACAAGCTAACAGTTCTTTGCTGCTTTGTATAATTCCCAGAAGTATCTCTGCAATTAAGGCATCAGGAAGGAACAACAATATCTGTGCTGAGGCACAGAGAACCATATGATGGGTGCTGCGGACCTCCAGTCTTGCACATAATTACGACCATAAGAAAAATTTTCAGTATGAGGAACGATGAAGATTGCAAATTTCAGCACAGAGTGGCATAAAAGCTTAAAAATCCAGAGCAAGGGCCCGCTTGGGAACGACATTTTTTGAACTGAGCACAACTGGTACCCTTAGAGGCTTAAATGTTTTTGCACTTGTCTGTAAGGACACCCTTTGAGATTTCTCTCTGTGGTTGCACCATACGTCTCTGTTCTCAAGGACTGCTTAGTCAGACTGAACCGAAAAATGTTTTCTATGTATTTAACATCAACGAAATACTTCAGGTGGGTTGCTTCTGTAGTATCATCATATAGCCACACAAGTAAATTCAATATTGGCTACACATTTGTTTGCAGTGGTTTTTGAATACCTCTGTAACATTTTAATATACAAGATGTAGGGTAAGAAAAGCAAAATAAATAATGTTTGCTAGGACTAGTTCCATTGTCTTAATGAAAGATTCCTCAGGGAAGTACTCTTAACAAAACACAAGACAGAAACCTTCTATAAAAACAGACAACTAGTAGAAGTAGCTGTGAAACAAAAGCACGTATGATGTCTCAAGGTTTATGAGACACTTCTCATGAGGGTACAGGAAGAAAGGTACCAAGGAGGAGGACAACCATTTCAGAGATGTTTCGGGGGGGGGGGGGGGGGGGGAAAGGGGCAGAGAAGGAGCGAAGGAGCAGAATGATCCACAGGTAATCTTTCTTTTTAGGCATCTAATCATAAAGAGTCAGGCGTGGGATTTAGCACCTTGGCTGCAACTCACCTTCAGCTTTCAAAACAGTAGTGTAAATTATATCAGGAGATTGGGAAACTGAGCTGAATGTAACACATTACCAAAAAGAAAGTGGATATATAGTGGCTATAAAACAAAGGTGACTTACACTGACTGTGCATGGAACTGGATCTTGATCAAACTCCACCCTAACAGAAATGGACCTCAAACTCACTTTAACAGCCACCATATAAACCTGAATTGAACCTACTCTTATGAAAACTAAATTTGACTCAGGGCACTGAAGATAGTGCGTTCTTAAGTAAGGGAGCAAGGGACAGTGCTTTACCTCCCTCCTGTTTTCATCCTGTAAGGGGCTTCCACGGCAGTATTGTTTCTGTTTTCAGTATTCTAGGTTCCGTTTCCGGTATTTTAAATCTCTGATGGAAATAAAGCTTTGCCTAGAGACATTAGGCAAATTATAGCTTAAGCATACATTGTGTGTTTGATTGTTTGCACAGACTCAGAGAAGCTTGACCTGAAAAGTGAGGTTTACCCACTTCCACAAGCCATTGTTCCAAACTTGCATTAGTTACTCATCTAAGCAAAGGCAAAGGATTTTCCTAAAACGTCAAGCACTTGCACTTGTATTTAAGTGGAAGATAGCTACTGATGTTCAAGTATATTAAAAGTCCTTCCACGTGGGCTCCAAAGAACTACATAACTGAGGCACACAAAACCAGAGAGTATATTAAAAACCAAAACAACAAGAACAAGAACAAAACCTATCAGGCTTACACTTCTAAAAGGGAAGGAGGGGAAGAGGAAAGAGGGAGTGTAGGAGATAGGTTTCTAGGAAAAAACCAAGACATCACACAGAAGTTTGTTCTAACCACAGCCTGTGCTATACTTATTTTGTGCTGGATACATCATCTGTTTATAGACTGGCAGCGCAGTATCTTTTAGTTTAAATTGAAGAGATGCTCTTCAGAAAACGGTTGTTATTTCAACAGTCTTCTGTTCCTTCTTCCTCTTCCTTTCCCCTCTTCCCCCTTCTTTCTTCCACCTCTCAAGACCACTGAACAAGAATTCTATTGGCAAAGAGTAAATTGTAGGGGGAAAATAAAGGACAAGACGACAGAGAACTCTTGGCTTTCATATACACTTACATATATGCACCATATAATGTGATTGGAAGTTGCATTTCTGGCTCATATGCTGTACCTGGAGCACTTAAGAGAAACATAACTTTACTATCATTCTCTAACCGCAACACAGAGAATTGTTTCTGGAACACAGAAATTGCAGTGGACTATAACTTCTCTTTATTAAGAACCAACAAGTCCAATCAGAAGCATCTTCACAAGCTCTACACAGAAAGCATCATCACAAAACGTCTCTCAATCATACCTTTTTTTTCTCTGCGTTCTCTTTGTCCTCAGCATCCCGTTGCCAAACACTTTTCATATCAAAATCAAATGGCGCTCTTCTCGCCTCATAGTTATTACTACGATGATCATCAGCCTTAAACTCTTCATGAATCATATAATTTGGTATAGTGGAAACATAGCTCCTGCAGACAAAGATTTAAAGTTATTTGTACTATGGATAATTATCTTACATTTCATTACAAAATATTCATTTGAAACACTAAGAGATGAATAGAGAACCGAAAAAGTTATGCGGGATCTCAGCAGACTTACTGTGGCTCATTGGTTGTTGGGGGATTAGAGCGATGTGAATACCAGTCAGGTGCAGCATATGCTACTGGAGATGACTTCCTTGTAACAGGAGTGTAGTGCTTCAGTAAGTCTTAGGATAAAAAGATAAAAGCTGCTAATGGTATGACTTCTATCTGGTAATAAAAGCATTACCTTTGTCTTCAGGTTGCTACTTTATCAGGAAGAGAATCTTCTTTATTCAATGTTATTCATATCCCTTGATAAAAACGGACAATCACAACCTTTTAGCACTGCATTTCAATTTTACTAAGTAGCTTGTTTTAAATGTTTTCACGCATCTCTACCAGTATCTGGTAATACGTATGTCTGTATTTGTCATTCTACTCTATGTGCAAGCTATGTATTCAGCTTTCTTACTTTTTTTCCAATAAAGTAAAAAATGAAAATATAGAATATCCCGGTATAAGGCCAGAGTATGTACAGAACTCTAACACGCGGAATGTCATTATAAAAACCAACAACAATAAAATGCTTTATAGACTTCTACAAAGTTTTCTGATAACGCCTTTTTGGGATGAGATCGTATTCACCAGAATACGTATTACTTAAATAAAACCAACGTAACTTGTAAAGACTTCTCTATAATGCAGCTAAACTGTCATACTGACAGGAATTAGAATAGACATAGGACAAGACTACTGATTTTGGTCATGAGTAGCTAAATTAAAAATAGGCTACAAGGATTTCCTTTTCTATCACATTTTCAATCAATTTTTTTCCATAGTTTAACTTCAGAACTCCAGGGGATTCTTCTGAAATACACACAAGCTTTTTCTACCACAAGCCAAACTAAAAGAAAAAACAAACAAACAAAAAAGCAGATGTTCACCAGGTTGGCCTCCTTGCTTTGCCAGCTTTACATATTCTGAATCAGTATCTTTGATCCACTTCCTGCGGCCCCCAAACATCTTCTCGTTGTAAGGTTCTGCAAGGTCACTCAGACCTGGAATCTGAGATGTTGGCGGAAGTGGGATTTCCGAGTTCACCAATTTCTCTGGTTGTTTCAGTGGTATGTGGTAGTACCATTCTACAGTAAAAAAGAAAATACTTACAGTAAATGTTTACTGCTAACATCCTTTTTCAAGGAGCAAAAGTAACAAACAAATTATGTTTGTTACTTAAGACTGAAGAAAGTGTGTTTTAAACACAAGTGACATGCTTCAGTTCAGCTGGAAGATAAAAGACAAGGCACACTTATTTCAGAGGACATAGTACATGCGACTTCTGGAGGATCAGATGCAGTAAAGGAGTGCCTTCGTTTCAATTTTGAAATAGTACTAAAGTTCTCAGTGAAATAATTCTAATACACAGGATCATGTATTTTCATGCAGAAAACAAGACCAAGGACACCAAAACCAGTAACAGTTACAGAATACAACAGAAGACAAAAAATCTTTTGTTTCCTTTCCTCCTCACCTATTAACAAAAGCAACAAGACAATTCTGACTTTTCTGTTTGCAGCCTTTAATAGTTTAGAAAAAAAAAATCCTTTCTCATCTTCTAGTGCTCAAAAAATCCTCATTAACGGGAAAATAGCGTGGCAGGCAAGAAAAACTAAAGAATTATGCTATGAAAGACACAAAGGAAACTTAGAGAAATGAGCCCAACTACCACAAATGTAGTTACAGACGTGTAAGCAAACTATCTTAAGGCAGACAGCCCTTTAAAGGTAACCTGTCCTATCAGGTAAAATATTAGCTATGCAGAAACTCAGCTACAGAAGAAAACCCAAGGAACTTGCTTTGCTCGGTGGCAGGGCTGAAGAAATATTGGACTGTGTTTTCTTCCACTTCACAGAATAATTGGTCCATCAGGAACTGCTCTACCTAATTATCTCAAACGTTCTCACTCTTTTTAAATTTGCTAGGTTACCACCATCTTGGAACTCCACATCATTTCATACCTTAAGACTGAAGAGACTTTTTCAAAAGTTGAAATATAAACTCTTTTCAGTCAATTGGAAATGCAGAGAGCTGCATTTCCAATGGAAATGCAGAGAGCTGACAGGAAATTTCCTCCAAAGTAGGTTAGTATTCTCAGTTTAACACGCTAACCTCCACTGGGATTTAACTAGAGGACAAAGCGTTTTAGCAGAGGTTCCTCCTGCCCCCGACATCTTATAGACAACTTCTGCAAAACACAAAAATGCCGAAATTTAAAATGCAACAAGATAAGTGTTAAAATTAGTCGGGAATGGCAAACACATTTAGAGCTCAGAAAACACTTAAAAAAGAGGGAGAGCCAGTCAGAAGTCTTTAAAATTCGGCTATCCCACCACAGCTAAGAAAGGGTAAACGATGAGCTCCACATTCTGCCTTAAGATCTCCCCACAGCCTAGCACCAAATCAATTCCTTCCCTACCTCTCAGGAAAAAAACAAACCCTGCTTTCAGACTCTGTTTCCAGAATTACATCAAATAATACACCTTGCTAGGCACGAAAACACAGAAGACTCCAGTCTGAGGTGTGTGTGCCTCAAGGCAGAACAGCCCACTGACACTGGCTGAACCCTAACGGGCCAGTAACTTCCATTCCAGCAAAGCAAAAGACAGGTCGTTTTACATGGCGAAAAGCTTACTTAGGAGCAACCTAACATCTCCTCACGGCCTAGAAATACTGCCAAGCGCCACCAGAAAGCGACCACGAACACCTTCGATATATCAGCTAGGAAAAACTACAACACGCCTTATCGCCATGGCAACCCTCAGGGCGAACGAGGCGAGGCAGCGCGGACGGCAGAGGCGCGGTACTTGCCGCAAGCAGCGTAGCGGCCGCGGGGAG